AATCATCCTCAGTTTTATGATGTTCTACACCATGATGTAAAAAAAGATGTTGAGACTCTGGAAAGAGTGCAGAGAATAGCAACAAAGATGAGTAGGGGCCTGGAGGCTAAAACATATGAAGAATGGTTGCAGGAATTGGGTGGGTCTAGTTTAATGAAAAGGAGTAGGGGTGACACGGTAGCAATGCTCCAATATCTCAAGGGTTGCCCCAAAGAAGAGGGAGTCAAGCTATTCTCCAAAGCACCTGAAGGCAGGACAAGAAGCAATGGATGGAAACTAATCAAGGAGAGAAGCAACCTAGAACTAAGGAGAAACTTCCTGACAGTGAGAACAATTAATCAGTGGAACAACTTGCCTTCAGAAGTTGTGAACGCTCCAACACTGGGGGTTTATAAAGAAGAGATTGGATAACCAATGGTATAGGGTCTTCTGTTTGAGCAGGGGGTTGGACTAGAAGACCTCCCAGGTCCCTTCCAACTCTCTTATTCTGTTATATTCCATTCCTTTTCTGAAAAGGGAAGTAGTGTCTTTGAGACTGAACTTGCAAAGCTGTAAGGAAGATAATTTTCCCATGCTGGACCCCAAACAAAGCCCAATTGAGTTGATTAGTGGCAGTCACCAGCCATACTGAACAGGTTAGGTTGGACAATTAACTTCCATCATTTCCACAATGGCGACATTAAGAGAATTACAGCCCAGCTAATCTAAGGATTGCCTGGCAGGGAAAAGTGTACCGACATACAAAAAAAAAGAAAACACTACGGATGAAATGAAACCTGGAAAAATAAGAAAGTTAAGAAAATGGAAATACTAGGCTTTTGATTAAAGCTTCTGTTGTATAAAGTGAGAAATCCAGAGCAGAGGTGTGGAAACATCTCCCACAAATATAACTGAGTCTGTTGCCATGTATGGGAATGACAGGAACCACAAACGTTCAACTTGAGCATACCAAGAAAGTCATCAATGAAACATGAAGCCCATTACCTGCTTAAATCCCAGTAGTTAGAATACAAATAATAGCTACCCACAGCAAGCAGTTCGACCCTGGATGGCTCAAGGTTGACTCAGCCTTCCATCCTTCCCAGGTCAGTAAAATGAGGACCTAGATTGCTGGGGGAATAGGCTGACTCTGTCAAGCTCCCCAGAGAGTGCTGTGAAGCACTTTACAGTCTAAGTGTGGTTGTTAAATTGCTGGTGATTGATATGGACTCACAACAGAGACCTTGCTTTCCTATTGGTCAAGAATCTATCACACAGACCTTTCACAAGGTATACTCAAGTTGTCAGCATCCACACAAAAGAAGTGAAGGGTGACACCAGAGAGGCATTTAAAAAAAAGAAGTCCAACATCTGATTTCAGGATATACTAGGAAGAAGCTGTGAGGATTGTGATGTTTCTAAAGTATGGTGCGACTGAATGACACCCACACTCTCCCTGGGTTTGTGAAGGATATCCCCTAAGCCTCAAATGAAAGGAAAAGAAACCACATTGCAAGGAATAGAGTAGCAAATCCTTCTCTAATTAAGAACAAATCACAGGATTTCCCTTGAAGGACAAAGAGTCGGGCAATTAGATAAATAGAGTTGTTTACCCCAGCAGTAAATAAATCTTCCCATGAAAAATGAGACCTCCAGGGAAGAAATGGTAAACTGAAGACAGCTCCACTAAAAGCAGAGCCAATGATGCCAGCAGAACGAAGAGCCGGCAATTAAACTGGCTTTTTGTCATTCCTCTTCGGATAAGGAGAAGACTTGAGATCACCCACTATGGCTCCATACCATTTTGTGTCATGAGGATACCATGAGACAGAGGTCTACAGTGCATTTAGAGCTCTGGGAGATTAGGGAATAGCCATTTTTTTGCTCAAACAATAGTCGACACGTTCAAAAGGACACTGGGATCACATACTTACTTTTCTATTCATTTTTGTGAATTGCTTGTTAATTGCTTTTTAGCTATTAGGAACCTTTGAATTGACAGGTTTTACAGCACGGGATAAATTTCCTTCAATCTTTAATGAAAGAAGTTTAAGTTTGACTTGTTATTGCAGAACAAAGCAAATTATTTTAATATTAGACATACCAGAGGATATTTTTGGATAAAGGACCCTGAAGATAAAGTAAGACGGTATTTAAAGGAAGTTTTGGAAGAGGAACAAGTTTTGCCAGACAAGATTGAGATTGATCTGAAAGTGGATTTAAATAATGGCAGGTTAAAAGAAAGATACAGGAGGGGGGGAAATGTGATGCTGAACATACAAAAGAAATCAGCTGATGTCTTAATAATTAAAAGGGATATACAAATACCAAGTCACCTGAGTAATTTTCTTATATTGAATTTAACTAAGGAACTTGTTAAAGCTTTGGAGAATTTTGTGAGAAGGGACAAAGGAAAAATGAAGAGAAATCAAGTTCTAGGACATTATTTGAAGAGACTAAAGATCAAGATTGTTAAAAGTAAAAGGCAGGAATATAAAGTTGGTTCATTTGATCAAGGTTAAAATAGATATATTGTTATCTCTGTTAACCCTTAATGGAATTTGGCTGACCAGGACTGAATGACATGGCTTTAAGGATTTCTTTATGAGTAAGAAATGAGATCTAGGAAGAAGAGATTCATGTGCAGAGAAGGTAAAAAAACCTATTTTTTTTAAGTTGCTTATACTTGTGATGAAGGTGGATGTTTTTCTTTATGTATTTTTTTCTTTGCTATGTTTTTTTTCTTTTCTATTTTTCTTTCTGTGTTTTTCTTTTCTGCAAAAAGAAAATAAATTAAACTTGGAGGGAAATAAAACCAAAAGAAGATAGTTGGAAATGCTTGGAAGAAAGAGAAAAAGCTCCAATTGCTTTCAATTCTCTTTAGACCTTCTTTCAATCAAGGTTCCCAAAAAAAAGGTTTTCAAAAGGAAGAGACTGCTGTATCCTGCTGTTTGAGTGAGTTCAGAGAAGAAAATGATTTCCTGGCTCCACTGAATATGTAAGAAAATAAGAGCGCTGAATAAATGAGTACATAGGAACTTCATATAGCCCAGTTCTCTTGCTTGCTTTTTTTCAACCTTAGAGCAAATGTTTGTACTACAATTCCCATCATTCCTCAGTCCTGCAGACATTCCTGGGGAGCTGATTGAGCAGGGTTGTAATCACCTAACTATACAGCTCCAAGTTTAGGGAAACTACTCAACGGTAATTTGAAGGACTTAACAGCTTCTGACCATAGAGAAGTTCTGTGAGAAGATCTAGAGAAAATCATAGCTCTCCATCCTGAATGCTTAATCTTTGTAACAAGAAAACCCACTGAGTCACTCTATCCAAAGAAATGTTTTGTCCTAAACTTGTTGTCTGATCAGAGGATGACCTTAGAGTTTGGGGTAATCAGCAACCTGGAGTCCTTCAGATGTTTTAAACTTTAACCCATGTTAGGCAACAAAGTGTGGAAGTTGTAGTTGAAACACAAGGCTGCCTGCACTTGCTCTAAGTCAAGAGCAGAAGAAGTGGAGCTACAAGAAGCATCAAGAAAGTCTTCCAATCCACACCGATTATATCTTGTGTACATTTCACAAGGTCTGCCCTCCCCACCCACTTTGTTTGTCTCCCCTATAAGTGAAACCATTTATTGCCTTTACAGATGGAACTCTACAGACCAGGAGATGGTAGGTAACTCTGCTTCATCCATGGAGCCATCAGACTGGACATCTAGCAACAGGAAGAAAGAAGGGAAGATTCTGACATGCCCTTAGCAATTGGCATAGCTCTTGGTCAACAAGGTGGCCTCTTCCAATTCTGCCTTTTTCCCACGACCTGTTTATTGGTCTCACTACAAACTATGCCAAAATGTTCCTTCAGGCATGTCAGACTGACAGCCAATGGCTGCAGAGAATCACAAACGTAAGCTTTGCAGGAGGTGAGCTGCCCTGAAATGATCTTCCCAGGAACCATCCATAAGTCGCTTGTTGCCTTCCCCCAGCAAAGTAAGACGTTCTAGAGCAAGAGTGTCCAATTTTGGCAACTTTAAGACTTGTGGACTTCAACTCCCAGAATTCCCCAGAAGCTGGGAAAGTGAAATCCACAGTCTTAAAGTTGCCAAGGTTGGACAACCCTGTTCCGAGTGTCATTGGCCCATAAAGCTCATCCCACTAAGTGACAGCACCCAGTTGACCTTCCCCTGCAAGACGGTCCACCCAGATCCAGTGAGCTGTGGGATGGGAGACCACACGGAAGACCAAGAAATGTATGTTCGACTGAGAAGTTAATATCTGAGATGAAAGCAAAGGCCAAAACCTCTTCCATGCTGCTCACAAGGAAATGAGAAATGGGTATATCCATGAAGTTAACCAGGCTGACTTACCTGGCCTCCCTTTACAAGTGTGTCCATACAAGCAATTTGTTCCCTCTGCCCCCTATCAAGCAGGCAAGCTTTACACTGTCACAGTAGCAGGTGAGGCGCTCACTCCCTAATGGGCACATGTTTCAAGGGGTCTTGGACAGGACGTAGACCCACCCTCAACCCCCACTCCCTGCTTATTTGGAAGCTACCACCCTACTGTGCCTTGCTTCCAGGGGGATCCAGTTTGCTACCTAAGAAAATACTGGAAAGAAAGCCAGGCAAGGGAGCAAGGAGGAGGAGTCCATCACCACCATCCCTGCAAAAGTGTGCATCATCTGCACCACATCTGGATTCTTACAGCGCCTCCTCCCCGCCTGGTCCCGCTGCGAAGACAGTCGCTCCAACACGGGGGAGCTGAGTGCTTCTGGAGGTGGCGAGGGGCGACAGTTATCTCTTCCCCCGTCCCGTCCCGTCCCGTCCTGTCTGCAAAGCCACGCAGCCCTCGAGGGAGGAGACGAGCAGAAGCACCCAGAAGGGAAGACAAGGTGGCCCCCAAACTGGCGAGGGGTCGGGAGCCCCGCTCCAAAGCACCGGAGAGCGCAAGGGAGCGGAACCGTCTTTCCCCGGCCGTCCCGTCCCTCCGGCCCCGCTCGAGGACCCCCCCCCTCCCTCCCAC